CACTCAAGCGATAACTTCAAATTCATCTCCTATTGCACCCAATATCACCTCGTAACGCATACCGACTTTCAAGGCACATCCTTCTCTTCCTTCTCAGCCAAAACATACATTTTTTCTTACGTCCTTAGCCGATTCTGATTAATCTTCAGGGCAGCTCTCGCTTAATGTCCTACCTGCGATCGCTGTGATTGCATCAGTGGTATAATCTATCAATTCAGCAATTTCTCACTCGATGAGCTTGTTGTCCACATCCACAATATGCTCCACTTATACCTTGGCAATGGCTATTCTTATGTCTCTTTCCATAAGACCGACATACGGCGTCGAAGTAGTAGTTTGGCTCTCTAAGGTTCTTCCTTACCGGAGGGACAAGTCTCATATTCTCTGTCATAGACCTTTTTCCCAAGTTCCTATTGTCCCTAACCGGCGTGTACCATGGTCCCGAAACGGCAGCCATTTCACTCATATCCATTTCACCCATCGAGCCCTCTCACACAGCTCATTGAAATCCCTTAAGACTCAAGAGTACTAACTGATTGCCAAGTTCCGATTTCAATCCATCCCCGAACCTCTTTGTCCTATCCACATGGTCCTTGACCATCCTTGGTGCGTACTTAGGTAGTCTTACAAACTTGACCTCGTATTGATCGACTGACATCCAGGAGGAACTCTGTCTTTTTCTGTTCTTGTGCACTCTCCGAAAATTACTTTCCATTGAAGTCCCATACCAAAGCATCCCCCAACACTGCAAAGCCTTTTTTCCAACCCTTATATCCAAAGTGATGTAGCCTCGGAGTCACTTTTCCCATCAAACTGCGGAGGTTTCAATTTCGAAAATTGCTCAACTAGCTATTGCGTCTGTTTGACTGCATTAACTTACTCTCAATCTTGGTTCCCATCATTCCCATTAAAATTCCAACCTCCTCATGTGCCTTCAGAATTCCATCCACTCTGAGATCCTCTGCAACTCCAGCTTGCGGACTTACACGACCTCGATCTCGACCGCTCAAACTCACAGGGTCACACTACTCACTTGCCTGCTATAATCCCATTCAGGAATTAGAGACCTAAACCAAGCTAAACCGGTCTAAGGTCCTAGGCAGGTATACACAACAGCAGTCAAGCAACCAGCATGCGGCCTTACACAAACAGCACAACATCTCAACCAAGGAGATTCGCGTACTTACCTCGGGTCCTGCCGCACCTGCACTTTATAGTCAGTTCTACAACCAGTCAATCACTACACAAACAGTCAGGAGGTACACGTAGCATGCAAGGTCTCCCTACTGGCTACCCAAGGTCATCGCCCCTTATCACTCCAGGCTTCGACCGAAATGGATCGAGCTAACCTTGCTCTGATACCAAATCAGACGGGGATGTCACGCCCCGCACTCCTCGGCGCGCCACATCCCTCGCAAAGGTCGATTCGTGTGCGACGTCCCAGGACGCGTCGCCGACCCAACACCCAACACAGAGATTTAAAGCACATGCGGAAGTAATTAAAACCACCCGTACATTAAAATACACCTGACCAAGGATAGCCACATAACAACCAGCACGGATAAATATACACTTGTTTTGACATTGGGAAACATATACAATATTCATATACAGCCCACACTCAAAAATCAAAAGCGGGTACGTGGCTCGGCGATCAAACACTATATCTAGCCGGGGCTCCTCCCAAAACGTTTCAATACGCCTGCCATCCTCAAGACTGGGGGGGGTTTGAAAAATTGGGTTTCAACAACAGTGAGAATAAATCTCAGCGAGTAATTTCCTAAACCTAAATTAGGCTAAAGTACACCTCCTGACGAGTACTAAATCAACACACCAAGCAAATCATAATTGACTTAGGCCCTCGGGCCTAAATCCAACACTCACCTTGCCCCGGGTTAGGCACTTACAGCCAAGCATAAAACATAGGACCCGCGTCAAAGACATGTACACATCATTTGGTCACAACGCATGTCATGCTTATGCTCGTGCTCATACGCGTGCTCACGCCTCATCAATGCATTTTCGCACGCTTGCACTCTAGCATACTTGCCATTTATCAATTTCTCCTCCGACCCGCGTTAAACGCATCAGGTCCTACCCGCGTAAAACGCATCAGGTCCATCACTTCGAGATCGATCTCTAGCCCGCGTAAAACGCATCAGGCTCATGGCACAACACCCGCGTAAAACGCATCAGGTTTGGTCATCTTCCGGTAGTCCGGGCATCGTCCCGCGTAACACGCCTCAGGACGGGTTCACTACCCCGCGTAAAACGCATCAGGGTTTATTGTGATCACACATTCACAAGCACCCATTTTCATCTGAACCCCGCGTTAAACGCATCAGGGCATTTTACGTGATCACAATGCACATGTCACTCGAGCACACTTGTAAATGCACATGCCGTGCCAATGCTCATGATGCAAACTCATGGCCATAACGTTCACACTTGGGCACTCACGAATTTCACAATGAGCATTCGATTGCACAACGCCACATAATCAATTCACCATACAATATGCTCAATTCAATGAATCACAAGCCCAATCAATCAATTAATTCAAATCAGCCATGGTACATCATCGGCACACGAAAATCACGCAATTAAGCCATTAAACTTGCACAAGTCTAAGGTCCACCAAGCATATCCTTTCTCGGCCACATAAGTACTCAATCCTGGCATCACGTAACCACTACCAAGCCATAAACAATCAGCCGCTTAATGGACAAATCAAGCACACACGGCCAATTCACAATTAATCCTCAGTTTCGCCGACACAAGGCCCGATAAATTCCACTATGGATAGTCACTAACCAGTCCCCTCTAGGCCTCCAATCCACTTCCAAATCATCACATTAGGCTTCCCAAATCCATCACATAAACAGCCACTACACGGCCCGATTGTTGCACCCCTTTATAGTCCGCATTTAGACCACGATTAATCAACATAATAATCCAATCGAGCCTACACTAATCGGTCACCAACCAGATCACCTTAGGCCACTAAATCACTTCCAAATCACCACATTAAGCTACAAGAATCACCATGAAAACAGCCACCATGCAGTCCACAAATCACATCCGCCAAATCCACATAATCGCCTAAATTAATTTCCCCAATGAACAGCCGACCATCAGCCCACTCTAGATTATCAAGTCATATTTAAATCATCACATTAGGCTCTCATAATCACCACATTTCCAGCCTAACTCATAGCCCACGCATTTCACCCATTTAATCCACATAATGGCCCGAATCGAATCCACAATAAACAGCCACCGATCAGCCCATTTTAGGTCATTATATCACATTTAAATCATCACTCTAAACTCCCAAATTCACCACACAATCAGCCACCACGAGGACCAAACTAGACGCGCTCTATATCCCGCAATTGAACCCGAACTTGACCCGAACTCGGGCCGATTCAATCCAATACTTCCGGCCATCACACAACACATTCTAAGCCGCTAAACCTCATTAAAATGATCCCGCTAAACCACCAAATCAGCCACAACATCAGCCCCTAACAATCTCCACAATTTAACCCCTAAAATACCCTAATTAACCCCTAAAACTCATCTAAAAATGTAAATTAGCCTAATTAGGGTTTAGGGTTGTACTCACTTGAATTCCTAGGCTCCAAATAGGGCTGAACAAGTGTCGACGGCGGCTGGACAGCGGCGGTCCCGCGCCGGAACAGTAACGGCGGCGGCGGCTCCGGCGAACGGTGCGAACGGCGGCGACGGACTAGACGATTCCACGGCTTAGAGAGGGGGAAAGGGACACGGCCAGAGAGAGTGGGACGGCTGGACGAGGCTGGGTGAGATGGTGGTGGCGGCAGAACAGTCCCCGGCGGCGGCGGGGGCGTGAGGGAGAGAAACAGGGGAAGGACAGCCGCTGGGCAAGGGCGAGCTCGGCCAGAGGGGAGTTGGAATGGCGGTTGGAGGCGGCACGGTGGCGGCTAGGACGGGCTGGGGTGGCGCGACGGCGGAGCGATGAGCGGTGGCTGAGGACGACGACGCGCGGCGGCGGGGCACGGTTGGACAGCGTCGGGCGCGACGGCAAGCTCGGAGCCGTGCGCGAACAGGGGAGGGGAGGAGCGGCTGGACGGACGGCATGACTGCGCGAGGCAGGGGGCGGCGTGCGGACGGCTGGGCTGGTCGCCGGTGAGCAGGCGGTCGGCGTTGCAGCAAGAACAGAAGCTAGAAGCAGAAGATGCACGGGCAGAAACAGCAAGGGAGAAGAAGAAAGGAAGAAAGAAAAAGAAGAAAAGAAAAAGGGAGAAGAGAGAGAAGGAGTTGGTGGGATAGTGGGTGGTGTCAGGCGCGTGGGTGGAGGGTCAGACACGCAAAAGGGGTCAGCGGGAAAAGGGGGAGGAGAGAGAGAGAGAAAGAGAGGAAAGAAATAAAAGAAAATAAACTTCATTCAAATATTAATCGCGATCCGATGGCCCAAATTAAAAACCGAAAGTGGTCTACCGGTCCAAAATAAGCCTCGCACATAAAAAGGGACAAAGGCCAAATTAATTAGACCAAATCATAACGAGGGAGGTCTACTAGTCCAAATTCGCACGTGGTCAAAAACTCCCATTTTTCCATCATTCCTGACAATCTCAACGTTGGCTACCATAATATTGACACCATCCAATTTATTTTGTCCCGAAACTCCCGGAAATCGACTGCCAAGTTCGGGGTCCAAATAACGGCCAAATTTGATCGAGTGCGATTCTAGCGAAATCTCTACTTTAAAATGATAACCGGGAGTGATCAGTTCCCGGGCGAGATTTTACTATAAGCACACTGACAAATTACACATTTTATAAATCCCAAAAATGGGCCGAAATTCGGGATGTCACAATCAGTAAGTTCTATTCAAGTGAAATTCGAACTTGATGCTTGTAGCATCAGCTTTATCTGATATCCACTGAAGTAAGAGAAGACCGATGTCACAAAGTTCGCTTCGATCGCCTTGACTTGCGAACGCCCAACAGATCATGTTACACTCTAAAATCCCACGACAGCAATTCAATCAACTGAAAAAACAGGGGACACATACAAAGCAATCACGACAGCATCAGCCCCCGAATCAAACACTAAAAACAACCGAATTTTTCCCAAACTGACCGAGGGAAAGCAACGGACGCCGAGACTCCTGGGAGGAGGGGTGATCTCTTTCACGATCTTTCTTCCTGCAGGAGATATGAAGGCCCTGCGCGCGAGCAAAAACCCACCACGTAAAAAAACCGGCGACTTTTCGAGACATCAACCTCGTTCGCACGCACCCATTCCGAAATTAAACGAACAAAAAAAAAGGGGGAAAAAACCTCCATGGAAATGGTGAAATGCCGGCGGTCGACCTCGCCATCGCCCAGATCTGGGCGATGGCGAGGTGACCGCGGCCATGGCGAGGCCGCTCGGTGGGGAGGCCGAGCGGCCTCGCCATGGCCGGCGGTCCACCTCGCCGTCGCCCGGATCCGGGCCACGGCGAGGTCGACCGCCGGCCATGGCGAGGCCGAAGCTGACCCCCCCGATCACGGCGACTTCCAAATCCAGAAAAGAGAGAGATGAGAGGAGATGCAGGGCAGGATCGGAGCTTACGTGGAGCAGGAGCGAGCGAGCGAGCGGCCCTGGCTTCCTCTTGGTCGGAGCGAGCGAACGAGCGGCCTGGCTTCCTCTCGACGGCGATGGAGAGAGTACAGAGAGAGACGGGCAGATCAGAGAGAGAGAGATGAGAGGAGACGAGAGACAGATGTTTTGAAGAGAATGAGTTCCTCAGAAATGGTTCTGAGTTTTGTTCAAGAAACGAAAAACCAACTTTTTTTAGGTTCTGATTTCTGGTTTCAGAACCGGTTTTAGGACAAAACTTGTCCCGGAAATAGAAAAATAAAATTACGTTACCAAACGGGTTTCTGGTCCAAAACTGATTCCGGGAACAAAAAACCAGTTTTGGACAGAACCAGAATGGTTACCATGCGCGCCCTGAACTTCCAGAAAACTTCCTTGGTCCACCACACCCTCAGATCCACGACCGCGCACAGCACACGTCGCAGCTCGCCACCGGCCGTCCGATTCTCCAGGTAGGCCTGCTGATTGAGCGGGTCAGAGTCGCGCATGGGAGGGCCGGAGTAGTCAGCGATCTGCGCGACGGCGACGAGGGGGTTGGAGGCGAAAGAGGAAGGGACGGCGGAAGAGACACGTGAGCGGATGACGAGGGTAGTGAAATAACTGCGGCGGGTGAGGAGGAGGCGAGCTTCATGCGGGGTGGAGGTGGCTGGGCCGGACCCGGTGATGACGAAGATCTCGGCCGTCACCGACATGGGAAGCCGACGATTGAATCGTTTCTTGGGATTCGTGTCGAAGCTTTCAGGAGCGATGAGGGTGGGTGTTACAGATTAAAAGGAGAAGAATGAGTCAGTCTTGAGTGTCAATATAACCACTAGTCATGACCACTAGTCAAGCAATCTACAAGAGATTGGAGAAGCACAGATGGAACCAACTCCAATATTTTGCGACAAGTCCGCGATCGTTATATGAAGCAGGGAGACTGACTTGCAATTTCACTTATTTCACTCATTTCATAAGTTTTTTCCTTATCCATTATTACTCTATTATATTAATATATGCATAATATTTTAAATTGTGATATTCTAAAGACACGAGTAATTTGATTGCCTGTTTCTTTTGGCAAACCTAAAAAATATTGTTCTAAGAACGTGAAACTCGTGCAATATTCGACCATTTCATTATCCTACTGTCGCGACCTCCTCTCTTTTAATTGGGCAAACATATAGGGTGTCAACACCTACCTACTAAACGATGTCCATACATGGGTGCGCAATCAAAAAAGTAAACAACCACAATCAATGCAATAAAGGTAAAGTGCAAGAAAATAAACGCAACATGATATCAGGCAAAGAATATACATTGCCTCGTTATTAAGCCCTGGGACAACAAGCCTCATGAGTTAATTCATAAAATCCAAATTCTAGTTTACTAACTGTCACGCCTATCACATCGCTCTTTTCGCGTGCCTATGGAGGTACTTTCGTTCGTCATGAATAAGGAAACTGTCCCCAAATAGGCTATTAAGGTCCAAAATGGATATTTCGCTCAAACGTCCCATAGACATCTTATCACTAGACAAACGAGGGTATCTTCCAAACCATACCTAACGAGATAGTAGGCATTTATTTTCTAATCTTTTCCATTTAACCTAAATTTTGGTTTGGAGTCGCCACTTGTAAGGACCCGGGGTCTACACTGTGTAATATTGTCCGCTTTGGGCCCACTGACCCTCACGGCTTTAAAACGCGTTACACGGAATAGAGAACCCAAACCTTATAAACTAGCCCAGGACTCCCCCCTAAGCGATGTGGGACAAGAGACATGCCCCCCATGCCATCCTAGAAGCCTGCCAGGAGCCGCTCCTTGTCCAGGCCCTCTGGCCCCGGCGACCACTCCCCGCCCTCGTCGGACCGGGTCGTTACACCACTAGTCATTATTGATAGGTTGACTAAAAACCTAATCGAGATACAAGAGAAATGCCACGATTCTGTGAACCAGGGATTACATGAGTACGGGGACTTGGTTATGCTAATGATCTCTAATTGAGATCTCTAACTAAAACGATACGAAGTGTCTAATGTGTCATGCAAGTTCGCAAGGCCTATCTACTAATTCTAACAATTCTAATAGAGAAAAATCAATCAAATATGATGCACAATTGATTTCAATCACACAAACAATCCTAAAATGGTCTCTAAAATGTAAAGTTAATCAAGACATCCAAAATCCTTGTAAAGCCCTAAAGGCTTGTTCGTTCAATGAATTGTGTGATTTTACGTTTTTTAAGGGTGAAGACTCTTTTTAATCCCTAAATTGAGGAGCTTCTAAAATTATCACATAGGCACTTTAAAAATTCAAATTTCACTCAAACTGGGTGCCCATAGGATTACTAAGCCATTATGTGAATTTTTTATTCTTTTGATTTTTTTAAATTTTCTAATTTTTTTTAGAATTTTCCAGATTTTTCGATTTTTAAAGAATTTTCTGAATTTTTTTTATGAATTCTCTAATTTTTTGAATTTTTTTATGATTTTCTGAATTTTTCTATTTTTTTTCTTTTTTATGATTTTCTATTTTTTATTTATTTTCTTGAATTTTCCCTCCGAACGATGAACGGGGTCGAACCGGTTCGGACCGGCCTCGCCTGCGCCTGCGGGCACGAAGCCAAAACGGCACCGTTTTGGCTTCCCCTTCATTTAGGCATTTTAGCAAATATATTGTGGGCATGATTTGGTGTTTTACCCTTTCGAGGCTACCATTTCAGTGACTTTCCGGCCACTTTCTGGCAGAACTAACCAAACCAAATCCTTCATCTAACAACCTTCTACGAATCCATGCCAATTTTATTACTACTGGATAACCCTAAGCCATTGAATTTTAAGCTCAAAATTCCCTACTTGACATGATTTTCTGGGTTTTTCAGTTTTAAAAATTGTCGAGGCAGCAACTTCAACCGAATCTCCAATGACCTTCCGGCCACATTTCAGTCATTCCATTAGATCCAAAACCTTCCCTGTATGTCCCTTTACACATCTATGTTCATAGAAAGACCATTTGACTTTTATAAGCCAAATATTTTCGAGCTCAAACTTCTCTATTTATTACCGAAAATCAATACAAAACATAACATGTCTAATATGCAAATCATCCAATCCAGAGCATCCTAACCGTTTCTAGCAATCAAACATCAATCAATGAGGAAGAAAAACTGGCTTGGATTGGCCAATGGCCACGGATCACACTCCGGTAGGTTTTGGAAGCTCCGGCGAAGGTTTGCTAATGGCCGACTCAATGTGATTTTCATTTCACCGATCCAAAATGCAACAAACAACAAACCACGTAATCAAAAACATGAATCAATGTTTAATAAGCAATATGGAACGAAAAAATTTCAGAAATCATGAAAATCAACTCGGTCATTCATTTGGACATTTTATCAAACAATTTGTATGTGATCACTAAGTAAATTTACCTTCGTCGAAAGAGGCTAAAAGAGAAATTACGAGGCAAACGGAGCCTACAGAGTGATTAAACGACACTTCTTCTCCAAGTAGATGGTGTTCCACTCGCTGGGAAAGCTTCGAGTTGATCGGAAAAGGCTCGGCTTTAGACCTTCAGGACTAGCCGATCTGACCGGAACGCGGAGGGAAGGTTACGGCCAAACCCCGATTCGCCGGTGCTTCGCCGTCTAGGGTGGCACCGGATGCTCGGGTGGGAACCTCAGACCCTCTCTCTCTAACTTTCTCTCTTCGGTTTCGCACGTTTTCTCTCTCTCCCTCTATTGTGCATTCGGTCAAGCATCTCTTATGCTTGGATAATGATTTTTTCTTCTTTTCTAGCTCGATTTCCCATCAGATTCTTGCTCTAACTGACCTCCGAGTTGGTTAGAATGGATTGGAATGGATATTTAGAGAATCTCCGGCTGTCCAATCCGTTTAACACGTGCTAGATTCACCGGAGTAAGTCAGTGAAGACACGGGTTGAACCAGATATTTTCTCCCATTTCCCGCATGTGCAAGCTGTCCGGGTGGAGAAGGAGACCGACCCGGAAGGCCTGGTTTGGTCCAATTTCGTGAATTAAGCTCGATTTTGATCCAATTTGGAAAATTTAACCCCAAAATTGAATTCCTCAGCATATTTTACATCAGAATATGAGATTTGTACCAAATTTTGTTACAATTAGACCCAAAAATTCCAAAATTTAAATTCGGATCAATAGGGTTTTTGTTAAATTCAGTGTCAAAATGACCTAATTAGGAAAAATTGGTGCCAAAATTGAATTATCCATGACTTATTAACCCTAGGGAAGGTATGGGTCTTGATTGAAAATATCTAATTGAATAAAATTCCCAATTTGAGCCTTAAAATTCCTAATTTCCAATTGATTTTTGGGGCTTTTCAATTATTTTGTTAAATTGTGAAGTTGGAATGACCAATTTACAATTCAAGGTCTCAGAATCAATTGTTGTGAAGACACTAAAGCCTAAAAATGACTTAAAATGATTCAATTGGATTTTTGATTCAATTAGGGTATGAATTTACCCAATTTTGGGAAAAATATATCCCCAACTGAAATTTTCCAAAATTGATGTTATAGTGATGAAATTGAAATTAAAATAAGGCCAATGGTTATTTTTGTGGAGTTTTTTTTAATTCTATTTGGTATTTTTCTTGATTTTTCACTCATTTTGACCAAAAGAAAATGAGGAAAAATTCATGAAAAATTCTAAAAAATTTATTTTTTGTTTAAAAATAGGGTCATAAGCATGGCCAATGTTCCTAATCCTAATTTTGTGATTTTTAGAAAAATAGGCCAAAAATCAGGTGTCAACAACGCCCCACGCCCTATCCACCGAGTCCCAGGCACGTGACAGCCCTTTCATCGGTCATTTAACTGCGATGTCCGAGGAGGCGTCACTGACCCATCGTATTATCTAAGGAGTAAGCACACAAGGAAGCGAATTCTAAATCACCAAACCAACAACAACAACAATGGGAATAGCATTGGAAACACAATCACCAAAAGCATGCTTGATATGTATATGCATTGATAACAATCGGACGTTAACAAAACACTAACCTGCAACTATGGGCCTTTCTCTGATTCAAACAAAAGAGTCAGGGGTTAGACCTAGCTTCTCTAATCACGAGGACCTCCTCAAAAAGGAACACCTCATCAACCTAAATGGTCGTCGTGAACTCCTCATACATGATGTTAGTCCCCAGTGCCACAACTTCGGTAACGTCCACCTCCCTAGTAACGGGGTACCCAAAATGAACGATTTGAGTACCCAATCTAGAGGTCTGAAAAGAGGTGAACAACAACAAATGAGTAAAAGTCAATAAGTAGAACCTCTAAGCCTCGAGTAGGAAGGTACCTCGCCTCGGAAACACAAAGGGTAACTCATCAACTTCGCATGCCCCAAAACTATCAATTAATCACGCATACTTCTTACCTCTTGTCGGCACATCAAAATCACATAACTATTTTACATGCGGATCCTTGCTTCAAAATGGCATGCGACAATTGCACATTATAATCAAGAACACTCCATATCACATAATAATACACAATACATCCACACGTGTTCCGATTATTACGATCGCTCAGGGCCATGACCAACACTCGCGTCGGTGGTCTTCCGGCGTAACCGGGCATCATCCCGCTCCATCAGGAATGGCTTCGTCAATCGACCTCACTCGAAGACGGCATTCAATTAAGAACTTTGTTCTGAAATCCATCTACGAACGG